TCTCTAGATCATATGTGGGGAAAGTATCTACACCAGCTTCTTCTGGACAGACAAACTAGACTCTTGCATCTACAGCGCAATGTTTTCCTTGGAATATATATTGTGCCCCAGGAATAAGTGGTATTCCTTCATTCTCTTGAAGAAACATACTTTTCCTTGGAGTCAAGGTCAAGAATTACCTATAAAAAATAATTTAAAAAAAAATCGACAACAACATGGTCCACATTTTAAGGAAATTAGGCACGTGCAAAAGAAAACAGTCAGAAACCTGGTTCTTGCCTGGGTGACAACTGATTTCTGCTTCTTTTAGGAGTTACACACATGCAGTAAAACTGTCAGTTCAATATTGTAAAACAACCCCAGCCCAGAGTGGCTTTCCAAATTACCATAAGTCACTGGGGTCAAGCTGCAAGTACGTTGAGATGGAAGGATATTGAACCAGCCCTGGTGCCAGGGCTGCACCTGTGTACATTTGCCCCTGTGTGAGAAATGCCAGGAGACCCAAATTGCATCGTGACGTACAAGCCATTTCCACTCCCACAGTGAAGTACAGTTACAAGGCTATTAGAGCCAGCCCATGACCTCAGTGTCATCACTGAAAACTACTGAAGTCAGAGCTTGCTCATCACCTCATATTGCAATTTACGTAGCTGCAATTAGGCGAAGGCAGTTATAAAATAACTGACTTACCAAATGACTCTGCAAGTTGTGAGGCAACTGGGGTGTGCTATCTGCTGGGGCTGGTCGAAGTGGAATTTGTCTCACATTTGCCAGAATAGTTGGAGGATGCAGACAAATGATTTTAAAGACAGCAAATTAGAAGAGATCTAGCGGCCCATTTTTCTAGGGATGGAAAGAAGGCTTCCCAACATTTGCACACTACTGCTCTGGGAGTTTTTCTGGGATACAGATCATTATCCAAAAAGGAAGAAAGCAAATGTCCAGAGAACTGGAGCATCTCTGCATGAGAAGACAAGGAAAACTTGGAACTGTAAAATTTTGTTTATTAATGGCAGTTCCGAGAATTTTAAAAAATGAAGTGGGAAAAAAAGCAACCCTTCATGAAACATTGATTATGCGCCAGTTCACATAAATCTCCTTGGCTACCATGTGTTAATATTATTCTTTTAAAAGACTAATAGATCCTGTTCTTGACAAGCACAAAGCCAGGAGGTGAGACTTTATGCAGTATTTTCATTTTTTAGCCCACAAGAGGCAATGATTTTATAAGAATATTATTTCTCTGACCAAACCACATTCTCTGTGTGAACCTCTGCAGAGAGCTTCCATTCTCAGGAATTCTCTGTTCCATCAGACAGTGTGCAGAAGCAGCATTCCTCCTTGTCCTTGTTCTCAGCTCTATCAAGACAAAAATAATTTTCCTAAACCAAATTTCTGTAGCCAACCTTCAAGTTTGCATTCAGTTTTTACCTGAAAATTTCTACACGCAAACCAGATAGAATGCAAGTACATCACAAAGCTGACTGCTCAAACAGCTGAAGCACACAGATAAAACGGTGAGCAGTGAAAATGGAATGGCAAACCTGAAGAAAAGACTGATGAAGTGGAACCGTGGTTGAGCACATCTGATTTTGCTTCACTGCATGGGAAACATGGCCGAATGGCCTTTTGAACAAGCAAGAGTCAACTCATTCACAAAGAGCTTTGAAACTCTTAATGTGGAGGCGTTTTAAGGAACATGTGGGAGATGTACTGGGGAGATTTGGTTCAACGCTTTCAACTCAGTTATTCTATAAAGCTCTAGGGATGTCCAACGCTGTAAAAGTAGCCCACGGAGATCTCCATGTTCTCAACTTGTCTTCTGGATGACTTCAAGGCAGGGGCAGTCAGTCCCAGAAGGCAGACACTATCCTTAGCTGTGTGCTTATCAGTCTGTACACATTTTTTCTAGAACTTAGTGTTACCAGATCCTGACTCATAAGAATAGCTTTGCTTTTTTATGAAGCTACCAAAGTGTCCTGGTGTTAGCATGTGTGTGAGTGTCCTGATAAGGACATGACAGTGTGTGGGAGGCCAGAGATGGGTAATGCCACTGGTATGTAGAGTGGGGAATTAGTTGTGTGTATGGAATGACCTTTTCTTCCATAGACTCTCCAAGACAAGAGGGCCAAGGAGAAAGAGCAGTGGTGACAGCTCAAGGTCCAGTCCACTCTACCAAAACTTTCCACCCTAATGAATGAAGCTATTCACTAGATTCTGCTTTCTACTTTGCTTCAGTACTGTTTTAATCTTAAAATAAAGAGCTACCTCTCTGGAGAATAACTTCGGCTGTAATGCAGCCCTAGAGTGGATAGTGGATTTACACCAAGGCTGAGGCTGATCCCCATCTCTACTTGCCAGTAATTTTTCAAAAGTTAGACCTTGAGTAGCATGACTCTGAGAAGGGTTTATGCTATTTGGGACTTAGCCTGTTTCCTTTAAAAGCATCATCTCGCAGAAAGGATTAAAAAAGAAGGCAAAAAACATTGAAGTTGTTTCCATACAGCAGAGTCTAAAACAGAACCACATTTTATGGAATTTTTCACACACATCCTCTCCCTCCCTTAAATTTCAATGTTGCCTTTTCTTCTGTTTTTGACGTATTGCCACTGAGTGAAATGAAATGAGAAATAGCCAGGGGCTTGCTCTGACATTTTCTTCCCCACCCCATTCATCCATCTACCCAGACTCTTCTCAGTTTTAATTTTATTATTATTTTTTTTAATAGTATGGAACAGCAAAAGGCAACCTTAGGATGTGTGTATCCATTTGCTGTAACCCACTCGCTTTGCTGATCCTTGTCACCTTTCTTATCATACCATCAGCATTTTTTGGACCATCTAAAGCTGAAATAAAAATCCTTTGCCTGCAGATTCACTCCAGATTGACAGGCAGGGAAAAATCTGTCCCCAGAGTCTGAGATCAAGAGCTTTATGGTCTAGTCCTGCCTAATTTTAAAGGGGTTTTATATAGCAGAATTGGAAAGAACCAAGAGACACTCAGAGCACATGTTCTGAAATACCAAGAATAACAAAGCAAAGGCTTAATGAGTTCAAATGTGTATGTCTGCTGTGAGTAATGATGCTTAATCCTGCTACAAAATAATTCCTTTATATGTTCTTCTGTTTTTTTAAAATGCATCACTGCTGCACAGGGGTCATAAAAATTACGAATATGTTTTCCCATGGCATGAGGCCATAGCATACTGTAAGGCACTGTGCTGGGCCATTATACACAGCCAGTAATCAGAAACAAATGTATTAAGTGAGATGATGTGATGTTACATGAGAAAAGTGAAAATAGAGCAGGAAAGTGTGATAGACAGTGACTTGGACGGCAGTATCAACTTTGAACAGCCCCTTTCTCTTCAGAAATCAGAGGCTGTGCCAGAAGAAGTTATTTTTCTAGATCTAGATCCTGGTCTAGAAAATAATTCCAAGCTTCTTGGAAGAAGAAAGAAATTAAATTTGTCTGAGAGCTGAAGTAGGCAAAACAAAACAACAGCATTTCCTATTCAGAAAGAGAAATACTGTGTGTTGGTGAGGGCAGTTCCTCATTAGGGGTGGTTCAGGCTGGATATTAAGAGAAAATTTCTCTCAGAAAGAGCAGTGAGGCAGTGAGGCTGCCCAGGGAGGTGGTGGAGTCACCATCCCTGGAGGTGTTCAAGAATCGTTTGGATGTGGCACTGTAGGACATGGTCTAGAGTGGTCAAAGGCATAGGTTGATGGTCAGCCAAAATTATCTTCTTGGTCTTTCCAACTTTAATGATTCTATGATTCAATATGCATTAGTCCAGGCTTAGCCATTGTCTCAGAAATGCAAAGGAGCCTGTCCCCCCACTCCTTCACCTCACAAACTTGTGACAAAGTCCAAGTATCAGCTGTGACAAGGTGAGAGCTGTCACTGAATAAAGGGCTCTTCTTTCTTTGGAGTTTATATTTCTGAGACTTTGCTCCAGTACTGCTAGTATCAGCTTAAAAATTAAACTAGACTCCAATTAGGAGAAATACAACAACTCATTTGTCTGTTTGCCAGTGTTTATTCTCTAAATAAGAAAAGAAAAAAAAAGCCGTTTGTGACAGCTGCTTTCATTTCCAGGAGTACAGCAAGTATCTTCAACATCAAAGCTGGATTTTAATTTATTGGCTTTACAGCACACAGAGCAAAAGGTCAAGTAAAAAGAACCTTCTTTAGAAAAATTACAATTGCTATTAGAGTGCATATGGGCTATTTGAATATTCCAATACTTTATCTACCAGTCCCTTAGAAAGGCTTTTTGAAACCCCTAAAGCTCAGCTACTTGTACCCCATAAGAGATTTGCAGACTGGCCTATTACTGTCAGGTAGAGGTGAGAGCAGTTGTCACCCCAGCAGCAAAGAAAGTTGCTTCCTGTTTCCCAGGTGTTATAGTGATGGGTCCTGAGGTCAAAGCAGTGCCCAGAGTTCCCTAATTTCATCCTCCAGTGTTTCTCTATGGCAGGCCCAGCACACAAGGTCTTCATTTGTTGAGAGTGAAAGCTGTATCAGCCATAGATAAGACCATCAAAACCTAAACATGAAGGTAGCAGTGCATATAACATCTCGAAAACAGATTGCTTGGATAATATTGCTTTCCTTTTGTTCCCACCAGAACAGGAAGAATCAATCAGCTTGATTTGACCAGAGTACCAAAGCACCTGGACAAATAAACTCTATCTGATTACTAATAATTATCTTAAGAACTGCCTCAGCAGTTATCTTAGAAATTATTCAGCTCCACTTAGATCTGTAAAAGCAACAGTCGCTGCTTCCCTGCCTTCCACAGAAAACAACTGTTTGTTCTGCTGTGGAGCACTTGTGCCATTTTTTTTTCTGAAATGTACAAATAATTGGTGCAAACAGGAGAACTGTTTCTTTTCTGACCCTGTTTGTCCTTTATGAAACTACACGACTACTTAGAATCGTAAGTAAATACAGCTAGGAATTTACCATGAAGAAAATCCAAATTAAACTCTTTCCAGATTCCAGCTATCTTCCCCTGCGCTTGAACAAATCCCCTCAGTGGATGAATCCCTGTGCATCTGAGAACTGCTGAGACCCTCAAACACAGGAGGTAAACCATATGCATTGCATGCTTGCTTTAATGAAATGATTGATTTATTGGTCACAAATTCCTCAAAAGAATTTGTTTTTATTCCCTGGGTTCTTATCAGGGAGCTCCCCGCATCAGTCAAAATCATGACCGTCATTCAGTGCAGGACAGCACAAGTCAAAAGGCTTTCCCAGTGCTCCCCCATTAGCAGGGAACCTTTCCCTACTGCTGGAGCACGTCCCCTGTTGGGGCACAGTTGTCCTCTCGTCCCATAGCTGTTTCCTTCCTTGAATAGGACGAGAGCCTTCCTAATGGAGCTCGAGTGCATTCATGGCACAATAGGTCATTTCTGGCTTACTTGATCTCTTTTCAGCTCACAGGACAAAAAGGGACATGGTTACACCATTTGCTTACATTGGTAGGTAAAGAAAATCTTAAATGTCGCATGAGTCACTTGCACTCAATTAATTTCTGCTTGTGTTATTTATTCATGTTTAAGATATGACTTTTATTCTATATGTGACCTTCAGCAATGGAGCTGATAACAAGAACATTGCTTTGGAAAAATGAAAGGTTAAACATTAACCAGAAAAATAGTTCTAAGACAAACATTTTGAATGTTTTCTTTCGTCGTATTTGGAAGTAACTTGTCACTTCCCCTCTTACTGCCTCCCTGACGTAACTGTTGTGCTGCTGCTCCTGACACAGAGATTGGCAGATGCAGTAGTCTCCAGGCTTTATCATTGTGAGATGGACTCTTCCGAGACTACTGCAAATCAGCCAGGTCTTTGAGCTGGCTGCAGGCGCTGGCTTAATTAGCTTTGTGTTAAAAATTTCTGCTCTTCCTCACTTCTCAAGAGGCACAGCTGAGAGAACAGCCTCTAGCACCATGCTCTGAGGTACGGCCTCATCTCTGCTCCATGTTCTGCACCCTGTTTCCTGTGGGAAGGGAAGAAATACAAAAGATAAAGCGGGCTGGAAATGGGGTAAAGCGTTGTCCAAGCTTCAGAGACACTGTAGGAGTCTGTAGCACTGATTGAAGCAGATGTCTTTTTTCTCTACGATCCACAAGCTTCACTCAGGCATAACCACTATTCCTTAGAATTTTAAATTTAGTTTACAGTGTGAGTCAACCACGGGGAAATGTTCTTTGTGCCTTTGGTGGCAAAAAAAAAAGTCTTTGTAATGTTAAAAGAAAGGACAGAAAAAATAAAATTGATCTCTGCTTTCGAGTGCCTCATTTAACCATGAACCAATTTGACATTTTATGTGTAGACAACCTTGTTGAGCTCCAACTATGCTCCAAAGCTACTTCTGCTGGAAGGTAGTCTCTATTCTCAGTTACTACAACATTAATCATGAAAAAAAAACAGTAAATTGATGATGTTACTTCTATTCCCGCCCATTTTTAGAAGCCCAGAACATTAAACATTCATAACTTTTATGCAGTAAAGCAGACTAATTGCCTGTTGTTTGGTTAATTTGAGTAGCAAAAATAAACCACCAAATGTAAAGATGAATGAAACAGCTAAGATAAAACCAAAGCCAAACAAACATCGACAACAACAAACTAGGTGACTGAAAAAGGGTAACTCCTGCTTTAGGAGTCTTTCTGGGTGGTCGAGGCTCTGTTTCAGCACACGGCAGGCCAGGATCCCGGGTGCAGGGCTGCTGGCCAAGCCAGGCAGCAGAGGCATCCGCTGGCCCCATCTCCTGCTGGCTCCCATCCACCCTTCCTGCATGGCTGATACCCCCATGATGTCCCAGGATATTCGACCTGCCCTTCTCCAGCAGAAAGACTGCTCTGCTGGCAATGCTTCAGTCTGCCTGGGGAAAAAAAAATGAACAAATGTAATCAACAAAAGCAAATCTATCATCATCCAACAGATAATCCAAGCATCTTCATTGATTTTAGATGGCACACTTGAAATCAAAGCTCACTGTCACTTATAGTCCTTAATACCATGGATTGGTAAAACAGTGTTACTTGTTTGTATATCTCACTCTTAGCTCAGATCTGTAGATCAAGTGATGTGTTCTACTGAAGAATGACACCAGGTTATACTGCGCTGTATGAACACAGGTTTCCTTTCGTCAGTACTTATTTTGCCATATTTCATTTTTATTAAAGGTTCTCTTGTACTTTGCCATGGTATTATGTGAATAGAAACCTCCTGGTCCTCGTCCCTGGGACCATTTATTATTTCATAAAATTTCCTCAGGTCTCCAAATATTTATGACCCCCATAAGGTAATCTTTGCTGGGATAACAGCCCGCTCCTCCAGTGTGGCTGTTAGAGCCACAGCAAGACTCTCCCAGAAGTCTCCTATAATAATGTCTTCCTAGAAGATTCGCAGGCTGGGTCCCAGCCCCCTAAAGCAGGCTTGACTTGATGCAACTGGGACCTCAGCCCACCATAGTGAGCCTTGTCCCTGCCCTTCTGATCCAACCTTCTCCCTCTCTGCTCTCTTTCATCTTCCTTGCTGGGCTCCCCATAGTGCCCCCCCTTCTCCAGTCAGACAATCCCTTCCTGTCGCCTCCCTAGGATGGACTTCTTCATTTTTCCTTAGCCAGCTCCCCTGGACAGACTCTTCGTTTCTCATTGACTTGCTGCTCGGTTGAGGTTTCTTGGCCTGGGTCCCAGGGTTCCTGCCTTAATCCATCCCTTCAAAGAGATTTGGATAAGTCTGGATAAGCTTCCAAGCCTCTGGATGCTTATTCAAAGCATGAGGCTGGGGGAAGGGGGAGCATCTCTGAAGGAAGCCAGAGGCCAGCTATGTACAGTCAAGCAAACTTTTTTTTTTTTTGAACCAGATACCTCCCCAAATCCCTTAGCACCTGTGTCAGAATCTGCATTTATGTTAGAAAAAATGCAAACTCCATCCCAAAACAACATCCCTGAACATTTAGACAGCATTATGACAGGCCAACATCTCATCAGGGTGTCTGTTGCAAAACTGAAAACTGGGATTCATTCCTTCAGGAGACCTCAGATGTGTTTATACATAGTGCTGGGTATTTTAGGGGTGACTCACTACAGAAGCCCTATTTGAAACCAAGAGAGCATGGTCTTGAAATGAAATGCAGTGAAAAGGTGTGAGTGCAGCAACAGAACACACAAAAATGTGAGGCTGGATTCTCCAGCCTGCTGGTGTGCTGTGGGCTGTGTCTCTGTTGCCAGTGGCTGCCTCTGGAGGCACGGGAAGGGTTAAGCAGATGCAACATCTGGGCCCAGGAAGAAATTTCTACTGTACCCTCCTTCCTCCTTCTCACTCTAACATTACAGATGGACTGAGAAAGAGCTATTTGGAACTGTTTCTGTACGTGTTTTGAGTGGTTCTGGTCCTGTTTTAAAGGTATTGGCACCTGCCGTGAAAATCACAACATTTATTAGAACCAGATTTCAGCCCCTTTAGAACCCAAACCAGCATTTGCTCAAATACTGCAATTATTCCAGTCCTTTCCATCAGCCTGTCAGCATTCAAGATATGTTCATTCATGACTCAGTTTCCTGCTCAAAACACTTGCTTTGGTGAAACTCTATTTTCCGTCCAGCTCAAGTCCAGTGGTGTCCTGTCCACCAAAAGAACAACTTACAGCAGTTATAAGAAAACTGCTATCTGATGTCAGTAAATCTTTGTGCTACAACTGCCTTAAGTCCGGAAGCGGTGGGTGTGCTCAAAACTGCACATAAAGATAAAGATTGCCAGTGCCAGGAATGCAAATTTATTTTGGAAGAAAACATGGGGGGCATTCCATGCAGGAAGAGACAAAAATATGTATCAGCCTACAGAGCCTGCCAGCACTTTGGCATACACGTGCCGGCCGACCAGGGAAAGCAGATCTTCAGCTGGAGGGAAGAGGCATGGGGATCCCCATGCTCTGCTCTTATTTGTCTCTCTTTCTTGCAGTGGAGCACCTGGTGTTCCTCTGTGTTCTTTTCGCACAGATGGGTGTTGAATGGTTCTCAGGGCCAGGAGGGTATTTGGCCACTGGCTGTGTTGCACTCCTGGACTCATTTGGGAATCTACCCTCATTTTCCCTTGAGCAGAATGGGTGTTGTTACAACCAAACCCTGACATGTTGATCACCCTTTGACCCTAAAACAACATCAGTGTCCTCATGGAAAAGGGCATCTATCAGTTTCCTAGAAAACCTTTACAGCATGTGATGCTGGAATCATCCCACCAAGGCCAAGGATATTTCTATTCCTTGCTCTGCATGTGTAAATTAAAAAGAGAGGTTATTACTCTCTGTTAAATGTCTACCTGATTACCAACATACTTCTTTATCTTGCTGCTAGTTTCCCTGTTAGTTAATGTGCAGAACAGCAACAAAAAAATGGAAGTGTGTATCCATACAAAGAGCTATCTTTCTCCAGGAATTACTATCTTTTAGGTTTCAGGGCATTGTACTGCTAGGAAAAAAATTCAGTAGCTCCCTACTACAAAACAGTAGCTTGTTTAATCCATGAAGACAGAAAAGACCGTCTTGTGTTGACCTGCGTTAGTGTGACTTGTGTATCTACTTGTTTCTAGTGCAGGTTACAAAAGCAAATCTACTCCATGTCCAAATGTGCCTGTGAAACCAACTGCAGTAAACCTTCATGAGATCAGACAGTGGAGTCACACAGGTAAATACTGCCAAACAGGACGGTCCTTCTTGCTCAGCTCTTGCTCTCTGGCTTCCATAACGCTACCCTTTCTTTGCTGAACTGAAATTGCCTTTTCAAGGACAGAGAAATAATACATGCATTTAGGAAGACTTAGGTAACCTAAACTATGCAGCATAATTCAAGTGAGCATGGCCATGGTGGCTGTCTACTGTCAGGTATTTGGCCAGAATGCACAACGATCACAAGACAGCACAGCTTGTAAGAGTGGGGACAATACAGAGAAGCTGGTCTGGCTAAGACTGGCTTTTCCCCAAGAGGGAGTGCAAAGTGCTGTCCCCTGGAGCCTTTTAACTCTGAAGCTTACAATAATAATGAAATCTCCATGGGCCTAAATGTGCCTCCCACACACATCTCGGATAGGGTCTTACCACACAAGGAGGCCTGCTGAAATTAATGGGCTGTGTGTGGATTACAAGAGGCTATTTGGAACAACTAAGTGTGATCTCACAGGCATTTTCCCACTGTTGTTCCCACCATCCCATCCAGAGTACCTGGCTCTAAATTTACCCATGTGTCTCCATCAAGGAATGAATGCTTGAAACATGGGAAGGGAGAAAGAGTTAAACATTTATACAGAGGAGCATGGTCTGGTGGCTGAAGTATGAACCTGAAGACTTGGATTACAGTGTTGTCTCTCTCACTTGACTCATATCCAGATATCCAGAGGCCACCTGGCCTCCATCCCTTCCTACAACACAACATAAGAGCCCAACATCCAATGCAACATCGTGTCACCATGGCTGCAGGCTCACTGCTCACTGCGGGCACAGCCCTGGGCTCAGATGATGTGGCTGTAGCTGCACAGACAGCCACAGCAGTGCATGCGTCATGGGACTTTTCCTGTTTGCTTTGTCCCCAGGGTTATTTCTGGGTGGGAGGGAGGCTGCAGTGTGATGTCAGTGTGTAAACAGGGAGAAGAGTGTCGTCAGGGCTCGGGGGTGGAGATAACGGGATGCCGAGATCCCCGGAGTGGGGAGCAGGAAAAAAATCAGCTCTGATAAGGAAACATAATGGAGATGGCAGTGAGGCCAGGGGGGAGGCTGCTGTCCCCATGCAAATGGTTTGGGAAAACAGTGCACCACCTTCCATTAATTCCCCTGATTAAAACGGAATTAGTCGTTAGGTGTCGGGGACAGGCAGCTGTTTTCAAGGAAGCCCTGGCTCCACGAGGTCCTTCCTTGCAGGGCAGCGGCGGCTCTATCTGGAGGTAAACGTCAGCGAGGCGCTGAGCCTGCCGACGCTTGTCCTCCTCCTGACAGGCCCTGGCCAGTGTCCTGCTGCTGAGGGTCGTGGTAATTTACATCCCTTCTGTGTACATTAACTTATCTGCAGCGGGACTGGCGGGGCTCTTTCAGCCAGCCTGTCTCCTCCGCGGGCTGGGAGACTTTTCCTGCCTGTGGGACCCGGAGCAAGAACCGGCTCCTGCCAAGTTCCTGCGCCGGATGAAGAACAACAAACAGCGCCTAGGAGCCGGCGGCTGTCCCACCGGCCTGGCGGCATCGCCTGCAGCCCCAGGCTCAGGCCTGACAGGGAAAGAGGAACAAGGCGGTCTTCGCCCTGCCACCCCAGCTCTCTCCTGCTCTTGTTCTGCAGCAGCTCCACTGGTTATTCGCCACTGGTGGCTCCCCAGGGCTCTGTGCCCATCCGTTTTCCTCAGCACACCTGGGGGGGTGGAAGTTGTGTCATGTAGTAGGAGACAGTCCCCCCCTGGCTGTGAATTTTGGTGGCCTGGATGTTGTGACTGTCTGTTCGGGTAAACTCGGAGGGATGCTAATGTACAGGTACACAATTAACAGCAGATCTGCCCTCAGCCTGAAGAAACAAGTGTCAATTAACAGGAGACGCCATGGGTGTATTCCTCTGGGCAAAGCTTTTTCTGAAGAGCGGGATATTACCCCGTGTCCATGGTATGAATATCCCTGTCACCCCAACTTGTACTGCTGAACATGGTTAAACATCCAGCAGCATCCCAGAAAATTTTCTCTCTCCGCTTTTACAATGTTAATTACAATAGGTATAGATCAACAAATTAACATGGAATCCATTCACCTCTGGTCCGCCAAAGTATAAACATGAAGCAATCCGAATTAGAAAGCTGCATGAGTAATGTAGTCCTAAATCATTAATTGAATGCACTTCTGCACCAAGGTTTTCGTTTAGGTGCTGTGTTTTCATTTGCAGCGTATCACAGCACCCATCCTAGCTCACCGTCCACACAGGTACCTGCTCAGGAGAAGAAGCAGTGGCCAAGGGTATACCTCATCACTGTTTTCTATAACTTTGTGGAATTCCTGTGGGAGAGGAAATGGCTGGATCATAACTGGAAGACTATTATTCCCCAAAACTATTTCAAATTTAGTGAAAATTGGAAGGCTTGTTGTGATATTGGTGAAATTCACTGCTCAGCCAACTGTGTTCATTATTCCATTTTGACTGAAAACTCACGAATCTGATATAAATTCAGGCTGTGCTCATATACTCCCATTTTAAATCAGGTTCAGCCAACAAACCAGGATGAAATCTTCCTAGATTTTTCTGCATTCTGTTCTAAAGGTGATAACAAAAGAGAATGGTCTTTTCTGTGGAAAAGCTGACAGATTTTTTTCCATGTAAAGGACTTTCATTGTCAGTTTTATTCTGAGATCACAAACACTTGAGTCATGAAGCGCATCCCTTCCTTCAAGTACTTCCAAGTCATCATCTGCCTGTGTATGTTACCGTGTTTAAATTAGACTTTATGAGTTCTACAGATGGGCAGGAACAGGGCCATGGACACCCAGAGCCAGAACAGAAATAGAAGAAAATGATCAGCTTAGAGCCCAAGCAGACATGGATACGTGTTTCCCTCTGGAAACCACCACTATGCATCAAAGAACAGATTTAACTGCATACAACTGAGTTTGAACAACTCCCCTCTTGAAACTCCAGAAAAGATAGCAAAATGGATCTTTGTTTTCCTAGTGAATATCACACAGTTCTTCTGCCTCTTTCTTAAGCCAAAAACCACTGCCCAGTCATAAGCACAATGTTATATATGACACAGCTTTACAGCCACTTGATACAAACAATAATCGTTAAGAAATAGTATCAGAAAAAAAGTTAACAACTTCACCTAACTTTCATAGCTGTTTCTGTGTATTTAAGAATACTTGAAGATTTTACACGAGATTTAGAAGACAACTAGTAACTAAGGTCAATGGAGTAGTTATAGAATATACGTGTATATATCTAGACCTCTATATGACCAAGATAGAGTATAAATGTTACCGAAAACATGCAGTGTCAATGTTGTCTATTCTTCCAGCTACATCAAAACTCCAATTAAACTCCACTTTTTCTTCACGTAGCCCTGCCTTCCAGAATCATGTTTACATGACAGGCTCAGCTTTTCTATCTTAGTATGTGCAATGGGAATCTTGAAAGTATGTGCTGGTGGGCTACTACATCAGGATGCAAAGGAACAGATCCATTCTTACAATAATTAAATGTCTCTTGGTCTTTGAGAACATCATAATTTGAGGTTAAGAATATCATGGTACATTAGCACCATTTTCTGGTAAGCCACAAAAGTCCATAAGACTCATCTCTGTATGCTTACGAACAGCTGCCAGGGAACTCAGTCTCAGTACGGAGACTGTTCCTTTCTGATCTCGCCTGTGATGCTGGGAATCACGGATATCCCTTGATCAAGTCACACATCAGATGAGATACTGGAAGACTGACTTTCAGCCTTTGATTCCTTGCTTTCATTTTACTATAAAAGACTCTTATCTTCATCAAGGGAGAGCAGGAGTTCTTCCATCAGCACACACTGCAGAGATTGCTTTGGTTCTGATGGGAGTTCGTCAACTTTCACCACTTGTCAATCTTATGTACGCCAATATATTTGCATAGACCTGCTGATTTTGCACACAGTACCAGCTAAAATTTGAAGCTTTCCAAAAGTCATAGAAATGAAAAACATTTCTGTCTGAAGTACTTTTATGGCAAATATCACAAACCTTCCCAATAGCATTTGTAGTTGGCATCTGTTTTTATTGTTTTCTTTTCTCTCTCTCCTTCTTCTTCTAGTGACATTGCCAAGCTGTGCTCTAATCTGGTGGGCATTGGGGAAATGAAACAGAAAAAGAACTGAAGGGCTTTTGGTAAACTTGAATTTCTCTGAGGCTAAGACTTGTGCTGTGAAGCAGACACAAATCCAAAAGCTTTCTCCCAGTGCTTGCACTTTGCCATCAAGGGGGCTATGTCATTTCTTTGAAGCAGGCTCTATTTTGATGGGCAAAACACCAAAGGATGACGTAAATCTCTAAGGATGATTACTTGGGTCCTGTGTCCGGCTTATTCTCAAAAAATGCCTTGACAATCTTCAGAGCTGCTGCTCTTTTGTCTGACAGCAATGAAAACAAGGGAGATGTTGCTGGTCAGACAGCAGTTGAATCAAAGGACAGGCTGTGGACTTCCCTGTGAAGTTTCACAGGACTTCCCTGTGAAGTTTTCGTGTCCTCAATACAATTTGTCCTTTTTTTTTTTTTTTTTTTTTTTTTTCTGGGGAAGTTTTCAGATAGAAATGCCAACTTGGTGGATGCTATGCAATAACTAAACAACGTAATACATAGTTAGTGCTCATCTGACAGTGGAAGACCCTCTCCAAGGCTCAGTGGTCCTCAGGACTGTTGCTCATGTAGGGCTGATTGCTGCTGCCTGGACTTTGTAGCTGCCAAAGCACACTCAACAATGGCAGTGCTGCTGAATATTTTCTCCCAGTGTCTCAGACAGCTGCATGTGTGCAAACACAGAAGCCAGTAAGGGCCAACAGAGGTGCACTCGCCCTTTGTATCAGTCCTGCTTCAGGGGGATGAGGATTTTTACAGTCATGTTATAAATCTGTTGGTGCACTTGCCATTTTGATAGTGTCAAAAAGAATGAAACAGAAATCAAGACACAGTAAGGAGTCATCC